CTCCCCCCACTAAACGTCTGGTGTCCTCAACAGACTACCAAAACTACCGGTCAGGGATAGAATAACCCAAATAACAATACTCCATAGCTGTTAGTCTTTTCCTATCGTAATGACAACCCCTCGATGAATAATAGTAATAGGCTGATCAGTAGATTTCCCTGGTTCATCATAGGTCAGTCGGACTACTGGCTTACTCTGTCTCTTAGGTCTTAATTTAGTACTGTCATACATATGATTACTAGGTTGGGATTCAGAAGGTCTGACAGATGGGCTGGATTCAACATATACATCATGTTCCGGAGCAGAATCATGTTCATCTTCTTCAGATTGGTCAGGATCTTTGGGTACATCCACCTCGGAGTTTGTCTCAGAGTCCCTGCTCTGAACAGATTCACCATCCTCCATTGGCAGTTCCCCATCACTGCCATCAGGAGAATCTTGTCCATCAACAACTTTGTCCTGGTCGTTCACACTGCCCTCTTGTGCAGCCTCTTCAGATCTGAAAGCGTGTCTCAATCCTTCCTTCACTCTTTGTCGAGTGTAGTAACGTCTTTGAGGCTCATAGTACTCATCTTCTGAAGCCAAATCAGAATCCAGAAATGGTTGAGGCTCAGGCACGCCTGTAGCCTGCTTTGGTGTCTTGATCTTTGGTTTTTGTCTATTCGAACAAGGCTTACTCTCTGTAAGGGTTGGCAATCTCACGCGTTGGTCGATAGGAAGGATGTGATCTCTATGGATTGTTTTCACACGTCCGCTCCCGTTCTCTTTCTTCAGTTGATAGACAGGAAGATTGGGCATTTTCCCAACAACCTGATACGGTACTGGACTCCATCTGGTTTCCAACTTATGCTTCCCTTTTAGACCCCAGTTCTTCAGCAAGACCCTGTCTCCTACTTCCAAAGACTGAAACCCAACTTTCCTGTCATAAGCCGTTTTGTTCTTTTGATGAACTTTGTCTGCTGTCTCGGTCGCAAGCTTATAGGCTTGACGGAGGTCTTCCTTTAACTTCGACACATAGTGTGAGTGACTCTCATCAGCTCTGTCAGTTGTCGTCTCAAAACACAAGTCTATTGGCAATCTGGCTTCACGACCAAACATTAAGTAATATGGTGAAAACCCAGTCGCATCAGACCTGGTACTGTTGTATGCATGGACCAAATAAGGAACATGCTGACTCCACTGACGTTTCTTTTCCGTGCTTAGAGTACCCAACATTGAAAGCAATGTTCGATTGAACCGCTCTGGTTGAGGGTCTCCTTGCGGATGGTATGGAGTAGTCCGTGATTTTCGTATCCCCATAGTCTTCAGTAAGTCTTTAATCAGGCGACTCTCAAAGTCTCGTCCCTGATCAGAATGAATACGAGCTGGTAAACCATAGTGAACAAAAAACTTATCCACTAAAGTCTTAGCCACTGTTCGAGATGTCTGGTTTTTGGTTGGGAATGCCTGGGCGTAACGGGTAAAGTGATCCGTGACCACTAAAACGTTACTCATCCCTCTTGAGTCGGTCTCCATCGAAAGAAAATCAATGCACACAAGATCCAATGGACCACTGCTGGAGATCTGATGAAGTGGTGCAGCTTTCTGTGCAGGAGTTTTGCGTGTTATGCATTCACCACACCTTTTAATATGTTGCTCAATGTCTCGACTCATTCTTGGCCAGTAGAATCTCTGACGGAGTACATCCAGAGTTCTCTCAATGCCTAGGTGTCCAGAGTCATTATGTACTAATCTCAGTACAACATCATGGAAAATCTTTGGCAAGACTAACTGATGGACCTCTCCACCTGAGTGATGCTTGATGGTTCGATACAGGAGACCATCTTGCAGTATGATCAATTTGTCTTTCTCCCTTTTAAGAAGTGATAGCTCTGGACTGGTAGCAGGCCACTGATTAAGCTTAACGGCCCGAACAGCTGGACCAATGACTGAGTCATTTTTCTGTGCCTGAACAAGTTCAGCTGTTGGAACATGCTCCAGAGACTGCAACTCCATTCTCATCGGGAATGCATATATGTCTGGTATGCATTCTGGAGACGCTCCAGTTTGGTCAACACATCTGGTTGAATCCACTGGGTTTTCTGATACCTGCAGCCTCCCACAGATGGATTTAACAGCTGCCTCAGGTATAGTCTCCCATTCAGTGTCATCACTGAAGTTTCTGGATAGAATGTCCGCATCTATGTTGTGCTTGCCTGGACGATACAGAATATCAAAGTCATACATAGACAAAGCAGCCAACCATCTGTGTCCCACTGCATTGAGTTTAGCAGTGGACAGAACATAAGTTAAGGGGTTATTATCAGTAAGTACTGAAAAACGTGCCCCATAAAGGTAGTCATGAAAGCGATCCACCACTGCCCACTTCAATGACAGGAACTCAAGCTGATGTATAGGGTACCTCTTCTCAGACTGACTTAGCTTCCTGCTGGCAAATGCAACTGGCCTCAGCTCCCCTTCATGTAGCTGGTATAGAACAGCCCCCAGTCCCTTAATGCTAGCATCCACATGGAGCTCATAGGGCTTTGTAGGGTCAGCAAAAGCTAGCACTGGTGCATGTGTTAGGCAGTGGATAATCTGATGAAAAGCCTGTTCACAGCAGTCATCCCATCGTTCTCCAAAGGGTTCTGACTCTTTCATATAGGACTTATTAGGACCTGGACTCTTTTTCTTGCTCTTCTGCGTTGGAGCATATCCTTTTGTCAGTTCAGTGAGTGGTCTCACAATTGCTGCATAGTTAGCAATGAATCTCCTATGGTATCCGCAGAAGCCTAAAAAAGATCGTAGAGACTTTAGATCATGGGGTTTAGGCCAGGTTGACACTGCCTCAACTTTCTGTGGATCAGGAGACACTCCTTCCGCAGACACAATGTGTCCAAGGTACTTCACCTGTGGTTGACAAAATTGGCATTTGTCCAGGGAGAGTTTCAATCCAACTTCTCCAAGACGATCCAGGACTTTCATTAGTCGTTCCTCATGTTCCTCCAGAGACTTTCCAAAAACAATCAAGTCATCCAAGTATACAAGGACTTGAAGGAGGTTCATATCTCCCACTGTTTTTTCCATTAGTCGCTGGAAAGTTGCAGGTGCTCCGGTTATCCCTTGTGGCATTCTCTCAAATTGGTAGAAACCCAGTGGACAGATGAAGGCCGTCTTCTCCTTATCCTCTTCGGCCATGGGAATCTGGTAGTATCCACTGCGCAGATCGAGTACTGAAAACCATTTGCTGCCACATAGAGAATCCAGGGCTTCATCAATACATGGGGTTGTGTATTGGTCCGGGACTGTCCGACTATTAAGGAGCCTGTAATCTATGCACATCCGTATGGTTCCGTTTTTCTTTCTAACTATAACAATAGGTGATGCATAAGGGCTTCGAGACTCCTTAATGATGCCAGCACTGAGCAAATTGTGCAAATGTTTCCTTACATCCTCAATGTCTGCAGGTGCAAGTCGACGGGATCGTTGCCGAAACGGCCTTGTGTCAGTCAGACGGATGGTATGCTCAACGTTCTTTGCAAGGCCCACATCCCATTCATCAGCCGAGAAGACATGGGGACGTTGCGCTAGTTTTTGTCTCAGCCGGTCTTTCTATTCGCCAGGCACAGGCGAGTCACCAAAATCAATCTGGTTGCTGTCAAACACTGTCTTTTCTTGTTTTTTGCATGGCACCGAGATGACACTTTCCGTGCGGTAAATGTGACCCATGACGGTTCCGATTGGAATACTGGTCTCCCTTGCAGACTGGTTCTCAACCAAAATCCTAAAGTTGTTAACTTGTACCGCATGTGAAGGCACTACCATAGGTTGCAACAAGACATCACCTGGCAAAGGAGTCAATGGAGAGGAATCAACCATCAGGATTTCCTTGTCCAGTGCCTGCTGAAAATGAACTTTGCACGTTATCTGCACCTCTTTCCCTGGGGGTAAAGACAATGGACTGGACCCTTGCCAAATCACACAGCCAACCTGGTCATCTTGTGAGCCCAGGGTGATAGAATGAATGGGTATGTGTGCCTTTTCACCATAAGCTTGGATGCCCAGAGTTCTAGTGATGTCCCGTCCCTCTTTTCTGCATTTCTGTACCAGATTACGGACATGGCTGGTGTTGGTGCCAACAATGACAGGAATCTGCTCTTCTTTTGGGCTTGGACAGATGAGGGCGAGAACCGACACTGTATGTCTGACACCTGTTATTTCAGCGGGATACTCAATGTCCACAACAGCATATCCTCGATATGGGTAACTGACATTGGACTCACTTAGGCCCCAAAGGTCAAGGCCTGCGACTGGATGCACAGGAACAGAGGACAAATGGGTGTTGTACCAGGACTCAAATATTATGGTGACCTGTGATCCACTGTCGAATAAGGCCTCACAGGGGTGTCCATTCACCTTGAGTGGCACAATGCTAGCTGGCCCAATCAGTCCTTCAGGGATTCCAGCCAGAGTGGATGAAGTCAAGTGACCCTGCTTAACATTGCAATTGGTGTCAGTGGAACTAGTCAATGAAACAGGTGGATTTTCTTTCATTGTCCGAATAGTCTGAATGAGTTTCCTAATTACTTTGCTTTGATTTTCAGGATTTTGACACTTCGCCACAAAATGCCCTTTCTCTCCACAACGGTAACAAAACTGTTCCTCCACAGATGGTTTGTTCAGCTGAGGGGTTCTTGTCGTAGATGTAGCCTCTGTCGCTGTCACAGAAGCAAGTTGTACTAAGGGTTCGGGAACAGTACCTTTTCGAGTTACCTTGTGCTGCAGTCTTCTCACTTGTTTCTTCAATGCAGCCAGTTCTTGGGTATCGCTGCCTTCATTGGTCTGCTCTGGGGACACCAATGACACCTTTTTTTCTTTAGCTTCAGTGGACATAGACATGCAGGTGGCAAACTTAGTCTTAAGCTCTTTAATTTCAGCTTTGAGATTTTGTATTTCTGTTTGTTCTGTTTCAGAAAGTTTTGTGCACACATGGTGAACGGTTGAATTAATTTTTCTTCTCGATGCTTCATACTCTTCCTCTGTACTGAGGAAGTACAGAGGAAGGTAGGAAGGTTGGAGGTGAGGATTTTTTCTCTCTCAGGCGCAGTTGAATTAGCATCAGGTCGGAAATAACAGCCCCTCTCAGAAGTTGTTCTAGCCGGGCCTTGTCTTTGTTATAGCTTGTTAATCCTCCCCGCTGCACAACTTTAGTGAGAGCCCTTTCCAAGCGCCTTAGGAAATCCGACAGCTTTTCACCTGGTTGTTGCTGCATTAACCGGAAGGCAAAATAGAGATCATCTCCAGATTCAGCACTGCCAAATGCACTTTCCAACGCCTCCAAATATTCATCAGGACCTGCTTCAGGGTTTGACTCACGAACGGATTTAGCAATCTCCAACGCTGGTCCCTTTAAGCTTTCCATCAGCCTGCGCCTTTTCTCCTTGTCAGTACAGTCACTTTCTTCTACCATGAGCCATGCCTGTTCTAACCAATGGTCAAAAGGCTCTTCACTGGGAGGAACTGGCAGGTTTCCTGTGAACAGCCTCAAACGTCGATAACCACCTTCAGCTTGTGGTTTACGTGTCTTCTCCAACAAATCGCCCACCGCTTGCAATATGGACTCAGTAGAATTTATGGGGGGATCAGAGTGGTGCTGTGGTTGAGCAGGTTTGGAAAATAAGCTTTGTATATCTTCCATCGTCTTTCCCTCAGTTTCCAGGAGACTTTTCACCTTCTGAGCAAAATCATTGGAAGCTGGACTTTCATCCTCAAGAGTGACTATCGGCCATCTTTGACCACTGTCCGGCTCCAGCACTTCCGTTGGTGCATTCTCTCTGGGTATATTTTCTCTGCATTCACAGAGCACCATATGGCAGCTCAAGGAGGTGTGAGATTGACGCCCCCTGACTCTGACTCGCCCTAGACATTTAATAGTCTCTAATGTTTCTTCTATCTTGGCTATCTCCACGTCTTCTGGAACCACTACCAAGAGAGCTTTAGCTTCTTCTAATCCTTCACCCCGACACCACCCTTTCAGTTCTGTAGTTAACCCAGAACGATCTGCCATATTTAAAACCACAGTAATAAAAAAAATGTGAACTCGCTACTTTAAATCAACTTGTGGGTGTGTATTACTTGTTCAACGTTTCACAAAGACTCAAAAAGATCCCAGCGGTGCCTCCATTTTATGTAGCCCTCACTTAACGATTACGAAAATAAGTGGGGTTTGGGTTCTATGTTTCCCTTTCTATAATATTTTGGGTCAGTAAAGGTTGAACTATACTAAAGTGAGTTATGCTACACACAGCAAACTAGTTTAAGAACGTTCCTTTAATTCGGTAAAATAATAAAGTAATGGCAAGTTTAGTGTTTAAACAAACCAGAAAAATAAAACATTATTTACAGAACAGTAACTTCACATTCAAAGTACACGTTAGTTATATCACACAGTACTATAAGCTAATCTAATGCCGGCAGCCAAGGCTATCTACGTTGAAGGCCTGTGAGATGCTTTGGAACCAGGAGTTCCCTCCGACTCAGAAATCCAGAGCTTCTTCACTCAATGAACAGTTTGTCAAATCCATACCTTGATCAACGTAAGTCCTCAACGACATATCCAATCGATACTTCACTCAATAGTCAGCGTTCATCCAAACAGTAGCTCCCGGAAAAAAAAAACAGTCCTGCGGCCTTCACGTACTCCACGTGCTCCCCTCGACAGTTCTTCTCTCCCTCGGCGCCAGAGGTACTCTGAGCGACACGGGCACTCAGAGTGACTATCTGGGGTTCTCGTTATCCAGTTGGTCCCGATCTTCTGTAACTTTTTTTTAAGTATTACTCTGGCAGCAATACAGCAGTTTACAAAAGTCCCTTATTAGCAACCGCTGAATTAGCTGTGCTCTAACTCTAGAATGCCTAGGTCACTACGAAAACTAACATATAGTTGGCAGCTTCTCTCCGAAACTTAACTATCTCCTGTTAGCTCGCATGAGTTCTATATCTGAGGACTCGTCGTACTCACTTCTAGAAATTTCTAAATACCTCTTCTTGTGCTATTCCTTCTCTCGCTGAGCTCACTCTTTTTCTTTTTTTACTGCTCTCTCTCTCTCCACACCTGTGCTCCCTTCACTGCCCGCACTCCTGTAGGACACTACCGTTTTCTGACAATTACCCAACAAGGTACACATAACTTATTCTCAACAGTACTAACCTACTTTAATAACTAATTGAACCTTAACATGTTAATTGAAAACAGAAATAGAACAAATGAACTTATTCCTATTACTTATCAGCTTTAACCTCTCTTAAGTTTATGTTCTATCCGGGTTACAATTCTATAATATTCACCTTCGTCATATTGTTGATCATCTCCAGGCTCACAATGGTTACTGTGCTGTACTTCACTTCGCAGGCCTGTATATTATTAATTTGAGTTAAATGAAACATGTTAGTTCTCCAGGAAATGAGACAGCATTCCAGGGAAGCTGCTGGCTCGTTTCCATTGGCCTTTCTCAAGGGACTCTCTGTGAGCAGGAGACATTGACCAGGGTCAGCAGTGTGACATTCAGCTGCCTTGACTTGAATTTTGATTAAACAAAGAACCACTTTCTTTTTTCCCTGTTTTATTTTCAAAATACACTGTCGGTACTTTAAATGCAGAGGGATATAAAGGAAGGGGACATAGAAAACAAAGCCCTCTGTTATGGACACCAAGACAGTCAGGTTGTAGGAAAATGAACAAAGAAGCTCTTTCTGGTGGTTGTAATCAGTGTTTCTGTAATAATATTCAGCTCAACCACTTTATACTGGTTTCATTTTGCAGCACAGAATAACACATTTATAACTGGAACATATGATTCTAGTTACTTTACCAACCACTAATGCGAACAAAGTGCTTTTTTGAAAAAGACATGGAACTATGAGTTCTTTCAACTGGGATGGATTTTAAAGGTATATTGTTCTATATACACAGAAGTTAATCAGCGGTGAGTCAGTCGGTCATTGTCATCGCCATGGTTCCCAGTCTGTGATCTGGAAGCAGTCCTGCAGACTCTCACTGGAGGCTCACACACTCTGGGTGTGTATTCAGGAAGGAGTTGTATGGGGCTGTGATCAAAGTGGCCAGGCAGGGGGACAGAGTGGAGGTTGTGTGTATTTGTCATTAGTATTTAGCAGGTCCAATGTCTTCATCTACCTGGTGTGACACCTAATATACCACAGTGCTGGTTCTGATGGACCTCAGCAAGATATTTGACACTGTGAACCAGGACATGTTTCTAAAGAAAACTGGGTTGGTCTCTCTGGTACAGTACTCCAATGGTTTGAATCTTACCCGAAGAACAAAGATTTTGATATATGTGGAGAAACCCAAGGTTCAGTCCTGGGGTCCCTCCTATTTAATATCTATGCTGGTTCTGCTCTGCATCGCCAGAACCAGAACCAAAAACAGAGAAGCAGCATTCAGCTTCTATACACCACAAATCTGGAACAAGCTTCTAGAAAACTGCAAAATGGCTGAAATACAGAGTTCTTTTAAAAGCAGCATATAAACCCAGCTGTTTAGTTGTCAAACCTTTTATAAACAATAAATGGAACATTGATCAACATATTTAATGTGTATTTGATTGATGATTTTGTAATATTTATTGCTTAATAATTGGCTACTATTATATTTTATGTTTAGTGTAAAGCACTTTGCTTGCCTTTTTGCTGAAATGTGCTAAAATGCACATCACTTGACTTGCATGCGACTATTAGCAATGGAGCTATAGAAGCTTCACTAACCAAACAACTTAAATGAACTTTTTGGTGATATTGTCATTTCTTTTACTTGCAAAGAAAAGTAAAAAACATTTACTGACATGTGAAGAAGGCCGTATCTGCATCTTAAAAATATAATTAGTCACATTATACAGTACTGATGGTCATCTCTATGAGATGTTTTATCAGAAACAGAGTTACAGCCTCATGTAAAACCTATAACATCATGGAATACAGAACATAAAAATATCAGGAATTTCAGCATTATGACGGAAAAGATAGAAAACACACCCAGTTATTTTTGAATAGCTTAACAAGCTACTGCAAAAGAAGAAGAAAACACATGACTTCACAGGTAAAAAAAAGTACATATTACAGACAACATATTCAAAATGAAACTTTAATGAACTCACATACATAAAATACTTAATTCACACCAAAGAAGTTACAAGACTTTCCAAATTGTAAATGTTGGGAACACCAGATTATTGCTTGAACAGATTTTACATAAATAGGCGGTAACATATTTACACTGATGGTAGCTGTGAAGGCCAGGTTTCCTGAAAACACGACTGCTTTAGAGAGCAACAATGAGGGCTCCACAGTGCTTCCACCATGGCACAGAAATGGACAAAGCAGGTTCACTGGAGCTATCATATCTCAAGTTTAAAAAATAAAAAAATAACACCACATTACACTCTTTCACCAACATCTGAAAATAAAACTGATATGTTCATAAAAAGGGTAGATGAAATGTCTTCAGCTAAATATGTGAATTCACTGAATATATTCAGAGCTTTTCAAATCCCACTTAACCTACCACTAATGACACCTCAGAGGAACTCAGAGACCTATCAGGTGAATCAATACCTCCACACTGATCAGCCATCAGGGTTCAGTTTGTTATTGTTTTACTGCAAGCCTTTCAATGTAATATCAACATTTCTGTTTGAAATCACCTAAAAAATAAAAATGAAGTCAATTTTTAAGCATAAGAAAATATCATGAAAAAAAACATCCTCACATCCAGTCAAAAATGTTTCAGCTCAAAATGGCCTCAACTGAACTCTAAAAGGCAGACTTTGAATTGTTTTGTAGTGGTTAGAAATGGTATACGATCGAAAATGTATTTCTTTTACCTTTTCTGTCTGGATGGGTGTTCAGCTGACAGTTGGTCAGAACAGGATCTGGACTGAAGATGACTTCTGCTATTTTAAAACAAGTCCAGTTTATAAGATCTGTTTAAACCAGTCATGTCTGCAGCAGCATGGTTATTTACCACAGACCAGGAAAGGTCTGGAATAACAGCCTTCTGATGTGAAGCACTTAAAGAAAAATAGACATAAACACTACATGTGATGTCTGTGTCCAGAGTAACTCTCCAAATGTTACAATGTCCAAAAAAATAAGTTAGTCTTCATTTAAAACCCTAACCAGATATTTTGAGCCAAACTTAATTCTCTTGATCCATATGGAAGTCATAAAGGAACTTATCTACCAGAGGAAAGGTATAATCACACATTACCTCCACACAGAACCCCACACACAAAAAAAAGAATCTAAATTCTGAGGAAACTTTAGACTACACAGTTTCCTCTAACTGTTCTTCAAATGAGATTCAGGATGGTAAAAACAAACAAACAAAAAAAACACAAATCTGCCAGAAAAGATGTGGTGATACCGATTTAAACTGCAAGCATTTAAATGTTTTGGATTGAAAAATTACTGTCAAAATCATTCACACCTTTAATTGATAATTACTACATAACCTTGTAGCCTTTTGTGGTGGATACAAAGCTTGCTGCATCTACCACTCTGCTCCTGCTGCAGAGTCCTCCACACACTCTCAGCAGGTTTCAGATTTTACTCCTGATGCACTGTGTCAATACTGGTTCCAGTTCAGAGTTTTGGACATTCTGACTGGGTATCTTCTGTCAATGTCTCAGTTGAATACGAAAAGCTACCTTCCATATTTTTATTTTTTAAAAAATATACAAAATCCACATGCCCATGCTTTAATTTTTCAAAACTCTCACCAATGGGATAACATATGTATAAAAGGTAAATGTTATTACTATGGGAATAATGCCATATGCAGTCAAGTAAGTTTCAGTCTCCTAAAAAAAGTGCCTACTAAAAATTGTCAGCAATTGCAAGAAGTTTAAATAAGGCTTAATAGAATGTTGATAAAGAAAAAAAATCTGATTGGACTAAATCTTCAGAATGTACAGGAAAAAAGCAGAGAGTCCTTCTTCTAGAGCAGTTATAATGCTTGCATAGTCTGACAGAGAGCCTGTCACCGTCTGTCTGCTTGTTCCATGCTCCTTCACAAACTGTCAAACTTATGTTTTAAATAGTCTTTCATAACTTTTGCAATTGGAAGATCCTCCAAGAATTTCAAACTTTGAAGGCCAATACAGTGACGGATTTTTATTCGACATAGGTCCTGGAGACTCCGAGGTTGCCCTGAAAATGGAAAAGAAACAATTACCAAAGAGCCCAAAGCTGCACTGGTGCAATAAGTGAACTTGTTAGAGTTAGTTACATAAACACATCAATGGAAAAAAATTTTA